TACTTTTAATGATAAATTGTACGAAAAAACACGAGGTTTGGCTATGGGATCGTGTGTCAGCAATTTTTTTCAACCACAACGCATTAACATGCTGCACTTACAAGCTGCACTGTCATGGTTCAACTCCCGCTTGGGATGTTGATAAGATCCATGCGAGGTCGGAACTGCAGTCCAACCTGGATGAGAACATGTTTTGGGAAAGCAAGAATATGCGAAATTCAATGGAAAACAATAGCTCTACTTATATCACTGTGGGAAAAATCAACTAGCAATCCTTCATCACTTTAAACGAAATAGGGTGAGCAGAACTCATATATCTGATTTACTGATAGTCTCTAAAGCATACTAACTCAAGAAAAAAATAATATACACGAACCGATTAACAATTATTATAGAATATTGTCAAATAAGATGAAGGGAAATACACATTTGGGGCTAGATAAAAGATAAGGCCATTCTATCAGAGCCCTTATGTTACAATCGTGTAATCTGTCGAAAAAGATAGATAAATTACTGAAGTTGGACATCAGGACTAAATAGAAAAAGAAAATAACACTTTACTAGGTAAACCCTCTTTTTCGAAAACATTTTGACTCTCTCCAGATCGGGTTGTTGCAAGACTTTGTGTTCATGCGATAGTGCCTATGTGTGAGAGACCTTTAGGCCCACATATAAGAGGTCATCGAAACAGCCTGCAAAGGTCTGTACGTCCAAAAATCGGAATTTGACAAACACAGCTCGCACAGGACATCAGATACTGATCTAATATCAAACGCTTAGTTGGATATGGAGACCATACCAGTAAGTGGAAGAATAGGGAAGCGATATAAAATCAACAAGGCAACCAATACCCTGAATAGAACTAATGAATGTGGAAACTTAAGTGGAAACTACTTATGGCTGTTGAATAGGATTAGAGAGAGGGGGGAACGATAAGTACCACCGAGCAAGAGGATTGATCAGACTCGAATCTGGCTTCGACTCACACTCACTTCAAGAGCAATGCATTCACCCAGCAGGCGTAATAGAATGAAATCACATGCCGTAACACTGCAAAGGTATAAGTGTTTTAGGGAAGGATGCAGCTATTCGGTAACAATTACAACCATTTCACACTTAATCTGCAGTCAATTAACTTTTCAACTAATATTTAAGCAAAGCATAGGATAGCTAACCAAATCATAAGAAGCCTTAGTAAGTAGAACAAATTAGACTATAGGAAATAGATTTGAAGCCGGTCACCTTTCTTGTCTTTGTGTCTTAGTGAATTGTCATCAAGCGTGATGTACGTCACTTGACGGGCGAAAGACCAACAAGGAAACATTGGCGTCACAGGACGGTGCGCCAAGAGCCTATTCGCCCGAATGTACAGCCACAGCTTCAAGGCAATCTTCCTATAGCTATGAGTTAGGCTAACTTACGAATCTATTTCACTCTCTTAAACGAAATAAAAGGTGCTCTAACAGAAATATTCAGTACTTTTTTACTATTTATCTCACCCCTTAGAGGTTCCGAAGAGTTAAGACTATCTTCGGCTGGATAGCCATCGTCCTGCTCATCTTCATCATTTGGCGGTGGAGGTGGAACAACCAGGGCTTCACTAGGATTCACTTCTTTTCTCTCCAGTAGCTGATCACAGCTCGTGCTGCGTCGCGAGGGTGGAGGCCTAGGAGGTGGCGGTGGAGGAGGAAGCGGCGGCAAGGATGTTGCCGGAAGAGGATAATCACTATTGTAAGTTAGTTTGCTACTACAATTGCAGTCAGAGTGGCAACGACGTTCTGGTTCATTCTCTCCTTGAATGGGCTGTTCAGATTGGTTTTCAAGAAGGCAGAGTTGGCGTTGTAATTCTCGAGCTACTTCCTCATCAATGCATGCGCTAGCCTGCATAGATTCTAATTTGGAGCACACGTCAGCAAAAGATGGACGCTGGCTCGGTTCCCATTGCCAACCTAGATATGATATGCATAGCCGGGTAAAAAAGTAAGACAAAAATTAGACGTATAGAGAAGGTATTTAAAACAAGGCATTACGATAGATGAAATTTGCAAACACTTTTCCGAAATATACATAGTCCATACAACTATGATATGAAGAATTTAATCAAAGATAAGAAGACCAAGATGGTGTGGCCTTTTATGTGGTCGCAGTCTCCTATCGTTATATATAAGTTGTTTGACCTTGTATTCGAAACTTGGTCATATTGATAGGAAGACTTAGAGGAACGCACCTAGTCCGGAGTCCATTGTATGCATGATAATTTCCAAAGTCGGACCGTGGACGTGGTACATTCCCAGACTCTTCGCCGGCATCGTAGTCAGCATCGTCAATGAGTCTTGCCG